CAACCGGTCATGCCAACTAATATTTGTTTTAGTAAACCTCTAGTTTACTTGTGACATATGATTCCATCATCATGCTTATATTTGTGTAGTACAAATAAAAAGAAAATCGGGTAATCTTTCATATTTATCCGTTATGATTATAGAAATATGAAAATATTCAATATTCCTTTCATTTATAGTCTCAATATGCCAACCACTTTGACTTATACATTTGAAACTCAAAAAGTTTCTTTTGAGACTTTACAATATCAATGTCGTGAATACTTTTATTCATCTGGGTAGTAACAAATTAATTTTTCCGGAGCTCTTAACATTTTTTGTACTACAAGATCTTTTGTTACACCATTCATATAGTAAATGTCTCATTCATGGAGAAAATTATATCATAATAAATTGTCATTATCAAAATCATCATAAGCAAAGTCATTTTTTTTTTGCTTTAATTTTGCCTTTAATAACCTTCTATAAGGCACAACAAAATATTTTTTGGCNTTCAATAATAGACTTTCGTTTACTCAAATCAGCTAAGTAATTAGTGTCAAACAAATATATGAAAATACAAAATAATATTAAAAATTCACATGTGGTCTTTGCTGCAATAAGCTTACTTCAAGATGAAAGTGATATGACTAGAACATTAAAGAAAAATAATGTATCAAATAGAATAATATAGTACTACTAGTTACCATGCACTTTTATGGAAACTAAGTATTATGCTCTCTAGAAAAACAAAGAGATATAGCAGAACCTTTAATTGAAAAAATTATTGACAATATTTTTAACATTATTGAAAAAGTTAATACTGGAATGACTCTACCATCTTGTTGCCTCCCACATCAGTTATAAAATAGGAGCAGTTATGTATTTTAAGTCACAAGAAACTAAACCCTTTTTTTTTTTATTTAATGGAGTGTACTAAGAATATCGTGTACAAATAATAAAAAATTGGGTTGCAGAGATACAAACTCACTCAATTTTTCAATATACGAGAATTAAAAGTTTTGATCGGCCAATGCTAATTCAAAATATTTTTCCATTTGGATCGTATATTTATTTATCAATAACGTATGCTAGTTGTGCTATTAAGATTACCCGAGAGAAACTTACCTCACATTACCTTTTCAAAAGTCAGAATGGCGCATGATGGTCAAGCATATATTTTATAGGAAAACGTTCAGTTAAGGGAAACTTTACATAAGGTTCTTGCTTTTTTTTTAACTTAGGAACCAAAGTTCCTCAAATGACTTTGCAAAAGCTGTAGTAGCTCCCCAATTTCTTGTACTTCTTTTGGTCTTTGGTTTAGTACGTAACTCTTGGCTGCATCATTATATACTTTTGATTCTTATAATAAGATCTATATAACCAGGATACGAGATGAAAAAGATCAGACCAAACTTACAACAAATATTAGAAACTCGTTCATTGAAATGGATATTGATAATGCAACAAAATAAAATAAGTAAAACATGGAGTAGTAATTAGTTTACATTTAAGTATTTTCCTTTATAAAGTAAAACACTTAAGAATATGAATGGATTTGTAAGAAGAAAATACTTAGCATTGGAAACTTTCATAACAAATAAAGAACCTATGAGAAAAATGAATAAGAAAATGAATTAATTAAAAAGGATTAGAAAACGTATTTTAGCATTAGCATTATATGCCTTATCACAGTGTACTGGTCTCCTCAACCTTATTGTTACTTCAGTTATGTTTGATACCATTCTTTGAAATTGCTATATGAGAAAGAAAAGCTTATCTCTTCAAGATGAATATTAGGCACGACAGGAACATGCCTTTTATGATGTAGGACAATTTTGTAGATGTAAGTAACTCAATTGATTAGGGTATCGTGCTGATAACGTGTTATAAAATAAAAGCAACTTAGTAAAACATGAACAAGACATGTTGTTATGAAATAAAAGCAATTTAGTAAAACATGAACAAGGAATGGAGATAGAGAGAAGGAAGAGATTTNAGGAGATAGAAAGAAGGAAGAGATTTTCTTCTTCAATTGTGTGTATTTTCTTATCTATTACAAGGCCTTTATATAGGCATGAAAAGTGAAGAAAAATATGTTATTGAATATGTCATTAAGTATAAAAATATGTCATTGAATATGTCATTAAGCATTTGAGAAGATCATGGAGGAAGAGTAGACATCCACCATAATTTGATTTTTCTTATAACATTTCTTAAATTGTGTGTTGAGTCAATGCAGGGAGTAATTATAAGAAAATGGGGTCTAAAAATTGACAAGAGACTGACGTTAACTCCGCTCTTAACCGTACGAAAATTTGAAATATTGGATATTTTTGCAAGTCTATGCTTGGAAAGTGGAAACTGTTATCTTTACCGGATGACCATCCTTGATGCAATTTCTCTTCTTGCCCCTGTAATGGGCTCAGAAATTACTTGTTCCAAACTTCTGCCAGTTATAATTACTGCTTCAAAAGACAGGTTAGTCTTCAGTTTATTTATGCTTTACCATTTTGTTGGGTAATTTTAAGCTTACAGGTCTAATACTTGCATGTTCCAGGGTACGGAATATCAAGTTCAATGTAGCTAAGGTGTTGCAATCTCTTATTCCAATAGTTGAACAATCTGTAAGCATCAATTTACTTCTAGTTTGTTTAAAGGCTGACATGTGTCTCTATTTCATGCATTTGCTTTATTAATGTAAACTAGACTGTCCAGTGCGCGACTCCACCCATGTCAATTAACCTATTTGAACTTTCCATAACTAGTGTCAGGTCCCGAGAGAGTAGGAGAAGAGTTGTGGTAGGTTGAAGTTAAACTGTAAAAATAGGCAGATTATAATGGATTTTTATATTAATAAATGCATTTGGTCGCACTCTCCGAGGCATGAGTTACATCTGCATTCAGGTGTATCATTGAATGAAGAAATGGACTTGAATAGAGCAGAATGGAAAATAGAGGACTTATAGCCTATCCTACCATTTTGGTATTGAGGCACAGTTAATCGATAGACTGTCTACTGAGCCTTAGTAATAAGGTACTAATAACTAATATATTCATGGGAGTTAAAAGCAAAGATTGACTTGAAATGCTTGATAAGGGACATATCTTTTATCATTTCATGATTTTTTCCTTTGGAGAAAGGAGTGCTAAATCTGGTACTATTAACCGCGAATCCTTATGTACAGGTTGTGGAGACAACAATTCGACCATGTTTGGTTGAACTCAGTGAGGATCCAGATGTTGATGTTAGGTTTTTCGCCAACCAAGCCCTACAAGCAACCAAGTGATGATATCTAGTTAAAGGCAATTGAATAGTTCAAAGTAGTTTTCTCCTTGTCCATTGTCAATTGTGAACAAAGATGTCCGAGAGCTTTATCAAATCATTCTTGTCAAGCATTTCTGACTAAGAAAGTTACTACTATAAGATATGGCAGCATTTTCCCGAGGGGGCTCCAGTTCGCATTTGTTGCACTTATGTTTCATATACCGTCATTACTTAGATGCAACTGCTCATGAAAAATGCAGTTACCTTCCTCTTGAAAGTTTTAGATGCAAAAACTATGACAAAGCAAAGTCCTTGGTTTTAAAAACTAGAGCTTCTACTTCTCAAGCTCAACTTGTCTTCATTTGAAGCTTTTTTAAAATCTGCCAAGAGGTGGTAGAAATTAAAGAGCTTAAATAAAAGTCGAAGTAATGGTAAATGACGACTAATGGTAGTAGTTAAATAAGCGAATGGAAAGCTGCATCTAGCACCTCGAGTGCTCTCTGCAAGTTTTCTTCTCCTTGTTCATCCAGTGTACTCCGATCCTTTCTTTCTCCAAAAAAAAAACAAGCAGATGCCTTTTAAAATGTGCATAAAAAGTTAGCTTTTCTTAGACAAGACAAAAGATATCATGGGATATTGGGATGAATAAATTTATCCACAAACCAAGTCTTTTAAACAAGTAAAGTTCTAGGCTAGCAACACAACTGTAAAGGATTAAGTCAATATCACAAATAAAATTAAAAGGTCACAAAGAACCACGTAAGCAGATTGAGCTGTATTCTCCATTACCCCACAGTTTTACCTCATCGATCTCATCCAAACGGAAAAATATAAATTAGTTAGTATACTGTCAGAGGCAGGTGTTCTTCATGATCAATCAGGCCATCAAGACTCAACAAAACACATTAGCAAAGCCAACTAGCAAAATGAAGACATTGTAAACACAGCCATGCAGTTTCCTTGCATTCTAAAGCTTATACATCGTAAAAAGGAGCCAGCTACTTCACTGATACTAAGTGTCTTAAAAGACGGGGAGAGTTTTCATTTTATTGGGTTTTTTTAAGTGTTTTTTTTTAATAACGGTACTGTCTGGGCCAGCTTGCGCGCACATTGATTATTCAACTGCTGCCTCCCAACCGGGTAATTCTGCCCAGCAAGGCTTGGACATATCAAGGTGGATGTGCGGGCACACTAGGATGGATAAGATTAGGAATAAAGATATTCGGCAGAAGGTGGACGTGACTCCTATGGATGACAAGATGCGGGAAACGAGGCTCAGATGGTTCGGGCACGTGCGGAGGAGAAGCCCAGAAGCCCCGGTAAGGAGGTCTGAGCGGTTGGCCTTGGCTGATACGAGAAGAGGTTGAGGACGGTAGACAGGACATGGCGTGGCTTCAGATTTCCGAGGACATGGTCCTTGATAGAAAGGTACAGAGGCCGCGCATTAGGGTTGTAGGTTAGGAGGTAGTTGGGCATTTTTCTACTTCGTTCCGGGTGGGAGAGTAGTCTGATAGAGTTTTGTCTTAGACTGCTAGTGGTTAATGTTGTATCCACACTATTCTTCCGTTTTTTCATAGTACCAGGCCTTATTTGCTTGTTACTGTTATTGTTTTTCATCTATTTTCTGGTCCTTATATTGCTGTTATTATTTCTATGATTTCTGTTGATGGTACTGATTTATTGTCTCTGTTCGTCTTCTTGAGCTGAGGGTCTTTCGGAAACAACATCTCTACTCCCTCGGGGTAGGGGTAAGGTCTGCGTACTCACTACTCTCCCCAGACCCCACTTGTAGGATTACACTGGGTTGTTGTTGTAAGGCTTGGACATATGAGAAGAAATCACCTAGTTTCTTTTGCCTCAGCTGAAATTTGAACCTGAGACCTCATGGTTCTCCTTCCAATTTATTGACCACTAGACTGCATCATCGGCGCACAGAAAAGGAAAATAAAGGTTACACCAGCCGGGATTAAGCTGGTTTATTGAAGTAGTCTAATAAAAGGTTTATAATCATATTGGCAACAAAAATATTTGAGGCTCACATCGTACTTCGTGGTCTTGTTGTGTGTTTTGCATCTCAAATTATATGCCACTTCATATAAATTAGTACGACGGAAACTGCTACTCCTGGTTGTAATCATTAATCAAAGACCTCCCGTTGGTTCTCATATTGGTTCTTTCAAATGTTAAAGTGAAATATAGCAAAGAAAATAATCTCAAACTGCTAAACGGTGTCATCTTATTATTTCACTATTTTGTAATAATAAACGGTGTACCCTCCCATGGTTCTCATATTGACTTTTCAAACGCTAAAGTGAAAAATCGTAACGAAAATACTCTCCACGCTGCTAGATTGCAAGTGTTAATTACTATTCTATTACCTCGGAATGAAAATAAACTTAAAATTTAACATTACCGTCCAGTGTCTTTTTTCTCCTTTTTCTTTTTGTTCTCTTTTTCATTTGACATTTCATGCAAGCGACAATAAGTAAAACCGGTGCCCAAAACGATATTTTCTAATTAATATAACTTTGATGATAATATTCGTAGAAAAAAGTAAGATTAGGATTTGATAATTACAGTAAAAAGAAAGTACCTTTCCAGCAGCAAGAGGAGTAGAAGAAGATGAGTAACAAAGAGAGGAAAAAGAAGCAAGTTGTGTTTGAATGTCTTGTATCTGAGAAACTTGCTTCTTTGAATGTGTTATGGCTGAGGATGGAAATTAATGTCCACCGATCTAGATAACATGCATAGATAGGCAGTGGAGGGGTTAATTAAGGCCTTGACCGTGAAGTCACATTTCTGAATTACTTTTGCCTAGAATAGACCGGGATAAGCAAAAGGTTAAGCGTTGTATATTGGATAAGATCTTTCATGACTCATATGAAGCTTTATACTAAACATCTTCTGCTATCCCACATCACAATTTTCTTAATATAGGTAAAGTGTATCTTTGATCGAAAGAGGCTGCTGGGGAAGTTACAACCAAAAGAGAGAGCCATTACAATTTACATGATATCAAATGGCTAATAAAATAAAAAAATGACCAACCTATTGCTGCACCAAATTATAACTAGGAAGTTCCATTTGCCTCTACGTCCAGTTACTAGGATGTTCAATATCCAATTTTATTCGTGTTCGTGCTTACCTTCACCTTTCTTCCCAGTGTTTCTAGAATACAAGTATATATTACATTGATTTCCAAAAATATAAATTGCAGTACAGCACTAACTCAAACGTTTATTATATTCTTTATCGTAGCATGAACTGCAATAAAAAGGAGATACATGACTCCGCTGCATATCAACTAAATTCTACAAGATAAATTACATGGATTACTACATCTTATTCCACGGTTGGATTACATAATACCACCATGCGCACTAGGACAGACCACTAACCACACGGCTTTATCAGTAAGCTGGTGAACGTGGGGGGCCGGCAGCCTTGTCAACCTTTCATAAATTATCATCCAGAATGGTGGACAATAGCAATCCTTGAACAAACTCACTCCTCTTCGCCTTCTCTTCTTGATCTTTGATTGACAATGGGGGTTGAACTTTTCTGCAAAGTAAGTTGCAATACAACATAAGAGATGCGAGCTACCAAATCTAGATATATAAGATCCTAAACCAAAGGCACAACTGAGATGATATTCTCATGATAAAGAGATCTCATGTTCCTGTTTCTTTCTCTCGGATTATAAAGCCCAAAAAAGAGCATCAAACATGATAACTTTTTCTTCTGCTTCTTTTTAAATTTTTTATATAGGATGAACTGAATAACTGATAACAAAGATATCGCCAAGGTAAACTCTACTAGAATAACACCTCTAATTCCCGTCTATTTGACCATAGAAGTGCCATCATAAATGTCGAAAGGAAGAAGGATTCCTCCATTCCGTGTAAAAATGATCTGGTCATAGCCCAAGTAGTTGATAGAAGCCAATAAGAGCTAGTCCAGCAGAACCCAATTGAGAACTAATCCATCAAGCATGACATATTAAAGGAGAAAATTATGCACTCAAAATTTTCCAACTTTAGCTTGCTTCAGTGGAAGCAGCTCAAAAGCAGTAAACCAGATGCATCATCATTCCAGCATTTAGACAATAACAACGACTCAATTGCAAACTATTTGGTTGGCTATATGAATTCCATGTCCCTGCCACTCCATTTGGACTTCATCCCATTCCTAAATAAGTTGTGTTTTGAAACAAAGTTGGGTTCTCTAACGACTAAAGTTTCTTATTTTCTACCGACATGCAACTTTCTAATAAACAATCTAAAAGACTCCTTGAAAAAATCAGCCTGATGTAAATGTACCAGCACGACTAAGCTCTAGTCCCAACTAGTTGGTGCTGCCTACATTTCACACACTTGAGCAACTGCTGTAACAAATTCATTCATGAGTTAATAATGACAACATAAAGAGACATGATTGATTGGAATGGTCATACTTTCTCTTTTCAATTGGACATCCAGAATGATCATAGTGCTAGGACTGGACGGTAAGACCAAAACTCTATTTTTCACTGATTGAAGAATATGGCAGAAGGAAAGAAGCCAGACCAGTAGCAACTAAGAAAAGCTATTGATAGATTCTATTCATAGGAGGAAAAATCCTTTTTAAGAAAAACTATTTTGCAGGTAACATGAACATGTTCTTTCAGAGACGGAGAGGCGGATCCAGGATTAAACTTAATGGATTCAACCATTTACTCCCTAAGAAAGGAAAGGGACAAAAAGTGGGATTAATCCTGATTTCTTTGGTTAGTTATTGTCAGCATATAAAACTAGAGTTCGCCTTCTATGAGTTAAATCCATTCCCTAGCGGATTCCCATATGCTGAGATAGTCCGATTAATCCAGATGATAAGGGAATGGAGAAATATTCTTAGTACCGAACTCATTGTACTTTTGAAATTATAAGTTCAAAATTTTATATTTGTTGAAATTTTAGTGATTTTTCACACACACACACACACACACACACACATATATATATATATATGCTACGTCGAAAATATTACGTTCAATTGACCCCATTGTTAAAA